TTTTCATGCATTCGTGTGGACGATCACATTTATTTTACGTCTCCGTCTTTACGGCAAAAGGTTTGGAAAATATCAGCGTTTCGTGTTCGTTTTGACTTTGTGTGGACGGGGCCTAAGACTCAGGGAGACAAAAACTCAGTTTGACTCAGCAAAACTCAGCTTGGCTAGAGTACCCCAAACTGGCAAACACTCTGGCGTAAAGGTAGTGGCAGTGAGCAGCTTAAGAGTACTCAGGGAAATGAGGTACCATCCGCAGGTGTGTGAAAGGGCCAACGAGAACCGGGCGCCACCTGGTGGTGGAGGGAGAAAACACAAAAACACAACCCACACAAACTGGATTCCTAACAATACTAAGGTATATCCAACTCTAGTGAAGGTGAGGAACAGTGGCGGATCTAGACCAAATGCACCAGGGGGCCAGGAGGGGGCCAGTATGTTTTCATGGGGGCAGAGAAAAGCATAAATATAAAAAACAAGGAAAGGGATTCAAATATAGGAGAGATGCATGAAATGAAATTTCTTTTCAGTTAGGTTAAATAAAAATTCTATTCATTATGAGGTCGATATACATTTATAATTTAGGAACACACAGTTTTTATAGAAAACTACAGTTTTCTATAAAATCTTATTTAGAACTCAAGAAAAACTTAAATTAATCTGTAAAAATCAGAGCATTTTTTTTTGTTGTGAAAAAAAATTTTGCAGATGAAAACTTGGATCCTATCTTAATACCAATGAAGCTATCGCCTTATTGTTTTTGAATAATTAGTAAAACAGAATTTGTAAAGGAAAAGAATGAAATAGATCCAAAGGACCTATCAGTAACCAGTGCAGATCATCATTTGATTAGTATTATGTCTTCAGTACAGGGGCTATAATAGGGGCATCTCCCTGAAATGAGTTTTTGGATCTTGGGATGTCTGCAATAGTGTGAGAACAGCCTATTTCTTGAAATGAACAGAATGAAGAGAAATATTCCTTTGTATGTAATAAATCTAAAATACCAGTTTCTTATTATATTTTAAATGACTTCTATTAGATGTGATTACATTAAACAACATTTGTTTACAGCAGAACATCTTGTTTGCACTTGTTCCGTGTTCTTCCCCATGACCGCAGTCACCTTTACCAAGTTGTGTNATTACATTAAACAACATTTGTTTACAGCAGAACATCTTGTTTGCACTTGTTCCGTGTTCTTCCCCATGACCGCAGTCACCTTTACCAAGTTGTGTTTGTTTCTTGTATCCTGTGTTGTGTTTAGGGACTGGAACAGCGCAGACAGGTGTGTCATGTTTTAAATAAGCAGTAAAGCAAACTGCAACGCCTCAGCTGCAGGAGCTTCTTCCACAGAGAGAATACTGGGACAATACTGGGATAAATTTAGCTCAGGGACCCAGACGTTCATCGGTGCGGCTGACATGCCCGCGTGCTGTCATCCCGAACCCCAGCGCGTGCGCTAGTACAGTCCACTGCAGCTGACGTCACATCCAGCATGGCGGTCAAGGTGACTCCGTCAATATTTCTTTTTCAGAAATGAGATTAAAAAGGCATTTAAAGCGGCAGCGGGCTTTGAGCTTTCGGGTGCGGAGGACGTCTAATATGCGCGAATGTCTCGGCTTTAGAGCTTGAACGCAGCGGAGAGCCCTCCTCCCTTTTATTGCATTTATTAGCTCTGCATCCTGATAAATAGGCGCATCTCCCTGGCCTCAAGGAGACAACTGGAATCCAAGAGATGTATTTCGAAACTAGTCAAAAAGACGCTTTAAATGGTTATTTTTGCTCGAGTCCTGCTGAGCCGTCTGCGTTAAAAATAACCAAAGCTGAAAAGTAACAAATCCAGTTAAACTGATGAAAAATTGTCTATATGAATCTTAATTTCCAGACGTCGGTCAGTGTCCTCTGCTGAGGACTTGTTCTGACCTTAGACTTTTGTGTTACAGGTGCAAACCACAAGAAGAGCTGACCCCAATGAGCTGAAGTCTATTTTTTTAAAGGTAAGTTTGAGCTGTGCTTTAAGTGTAATCAATCTCTGTAATAAGTACAGATAAATGCAAAAATAAACAAATAATAAGCATGCATTGTGTGTCTAGGTTGTGTTTTTCTTTTATCTGTAGTGCCCGGTATTACTTTAACAAAGGTCTTACAAAAAAGTTTTGAAAAGCTTTGGTTTCTGCTATATTGTAAAATGTGTAAATGTGTTGATTAACTCATGGAAGTCCCTCTAAAAGATTTAACTTTGGCAATATGGCTCTTTATCTGTCTTTATCGTTTTTTTTATTGCGTATGATTTCTGTATCAGAGCAGGATATGCCCCTCAGTGTTTAATTACTGTAAGACAAACTATGACCCTATAGTTGCTGGCTTAAGTTATTAAATTTAATTGGTAGCCTAGTAAACTAGCCCCACTTTTGCCTGAGTGTGGTCTAGCCTCAATCAATGCCTCAAGCTGCATTCACACCGAACGCAGCAGGAGCAGCGAGATTACATGCAAAGTCAATGGTTGAAGCGCGTCAAGGCGCAGCAAAATGTCCCGCAGCGCGTTGGGAGCGTTCGAGCATCTGACGCGCTCGAGGCGCCGCAAACGCGCTGCTGCTCGAGATGGAAAAATTTTACGTTTGCTGCCGACGCGCTGCATCAACCAATCAGAGAAGATGATCCGGGAGCTGGCAGCGAGACAGACACATCGCTGATGATACAGAGCGCTATGATCATTCCTCTGAAACAGATTATTAACGCCTAAATTAACTTCAAATGCTGAAACCTGCCAGCAAAACATGTTCGCTTTTATTATCCTGGTGCCTGCAGTTTTGATTAGATGAAAACCACCTTCCAGCCGCCGAGGCGAACCACGATGTGACCGGGCCATAGGCTGCTGTTGAATGGGATTCCTACTGACAGCGCACCGCCGGTATGTGGGGGTCTGAGCGGCTCCGACAGAAATAATATTTGGAAGGCAGGATGGTAATCTGGATGAACTGACTGCACTGATTAAGTTTTCAGGTGGATTTTCCCACTTAAAAACATAATAAAACTACTTTATTCCCACTGATCACAGCAAATATAGCTGCCAGGCAAAGAAGGGATAGGGTAGCTCCTCCCAACGCGCGTCAGACCCTCTTTTCGACAGTGCAGCCAGAGCAGCAAAGCTGCTTCAACCACGTTTTAGAACTAAACTGGTACAAGCATCAAAAAGGAAGCAGCAGAAGTGTTTTTGCTGCCCTTGCTGCCCTTGCTGTGAATGCAGCTTCCGGCCCTAGAACTGGCGGGCCAATCACAACGCAGAGATGTGTTTTGAATTTTCGGATGCAAAGGGGTTTTGAGGGCGGGATGACATAGCTCCGCGATGCTGGAGAAAGCACAACAAGGAAGATGGCAACAACTATTGAAACGTAGCATGCACTGTGGCAGCAGCAGCTTTCAATGGAGCACTACATTAAAAGTTCAAAGTATATTTGAAAAACAACAATCTTCCAATGTGTCATTCATCGGGGCCAGACTAAATTACACATTTAATCTCACATTTAGTCTGCTTTATCAGGCTAAGGAATTGGGGCTTCCTGTGATAATCCAGAAGGGAACAAACCTGATCTAAATTAAACTTTATTTCACAAAGACTCTCTAAAAAGCAAATACTTTACCCGGTCTGTGGGATATTTGCCAAATACTTTGAACAGTTTTTTTTATTCCAACCATGATTGTTATAACAATTTTATTTTTATTTTATTCTGTACTAATATGTTTGTACTAATATGTTTAATTGCTTTAATACCCTTGAATACTCTCCTGCCAGGAGTCCACTGTCACAGGACTTTATTTTTGCATGGAATGCTTCTAGGCTTTGTCCAAAACGTCTGCGTGATCATCTACAGTCACTAGACAATCAGATATATCCCGGAATGCTTTGCGAGTAGAGCTCTCCTTGCAAAGCATTATGGGACTTGCAGTCACTGAGGAACGTTGTTGCCATAGACTGTCACTACCCAACTGTGGCAACAAATAGCAATTCTGTAACAGTTTCTTCCCCTCAGCCATCAGACTGCTGAACTGTTGAAAAACTCAAAATCATGACACAGACTCTGCATCCAACTAATAACACCAAACCAAAACTGTTTTTCGCACCATGTTTTTTTTTTCTCCCACATTGTTTACATTTGATCACTGCTGCAGGAATGGAACGTTTCATTTACTGTCTGAAAAGCTCTTCCAACAAAGATTTCATTTTGCAAACACTGTGTATATTAAATGAAAAGGAAAGTTGTCTAAGTCTATAACAAAGATGGGGCAGGCACTGTGCGGGGAGTCAAAGTCACGTTAACAACAGGAAGCGAAAAGTTGTGATCATCTGTCTGAACAGTCAGTTAACTGAGTTCACTATAAAGTCCACTATAAAGTCCCCACTCTATGTAGTGAATAAGGGATTTAGGGGTTAGGGAGGACATTTGGACACAGCCCTTGTTTTCTAGAAGACTACTTTTAGTTAGATGAATGAATCTGCGTGCTACCTACAACCGAGATAATCTACATTACTTCCTCCTAAAGGGCTGGACTGAAAAAAAATTAGCATCTTAATAATGTTAAATGGAATGCCTCTACGATTTAGAATTGTGTGTTTTTTTTTTTTTAAAGAAATTTGTCTGTTATGTAAATTTAAATAATAGTCCAACCCTAGCCTTTACTCTGTCAGTGAAAACACTCAAGGAAATCTCATCAAAGTACTTTTCAAAGGGTGCCATTCAAGTAAGTAACACTACTGCTTTCGTCATAAACCTGTAGATTTGTTTACCCTTTACATGCATATTGTTTAAAGTATAAACTTGTTCCTCAAAGGCTGAATGAATGCTAGAGTTTCTCACTGATTTGCAGTGTACATCAGGTCTTTCTCTGATAGGCTAAAGTATTTTAATACTGTTTTCCACATTCATTGCATTTAACCGTCTCTAGCTGGAGAGATATTTTAAAGGTTTTTATAGACAAATCGTTTAATGGTTAGTGAAAACCAAACCAAAACAAAAAAGTTCCCTTGGCATTAAGCCCTCAGATTGTTGTTAGGGTGAAGCGGAAGGAGCTTGTTCAAGGTCGTATTTAACTGAGAACCTCCTCTTTTCGTCACGTTTCTAAGTTTGCTTACTGCCTGTAAGTGTCTTGTTTGGAGTATAAAGTTGTTCCAGAAGGAATTGACTCTGTTTGAAAATGCAGGTCTCAACATCCCGTCACCCAGCTGTAACAGCGCTGCGTAATTTCAATGCATATTCAGGTGGAAGGGTTAATTATTCACTCTGACTGCCTGTATAATTTGATTAAGAACTACTTGAGGCCTACTGTGAGGGTGAATAGATACACAATTGTGATGGAGAAGCACGACATTGGATTGCTTGAAATTAATATTTTCACTCTGAAACATTAATTCAGCGGAGTGCATTGAATTGTAGCTGTGAAAACACTTGGAATTGGAGGGGTCTCCTCCTACGCCCTTGCTTTCTCTCCCTCAGCTTGGCTCAGACCCATGAGTGTGGCCTTTCTCCTGCCGGTTCATGCTCTCCTTCTGCTTCCAGAGCTATCTTGGTGCCAAACTTGAAACCCTACCCCAGCTCTATAAATGACTGTACATCTTAAAGCCCTGACTAAGATCGGGTTTTACCCCCAGTGATGGGGAGTGAAATATTTTAGGCTTAAAGGTTGATGCTATTATTTGAATTTTATGTATTTAAAGCACTAATTTGGGAAAATAGAAGTTCAAAATCTTCTTTACAAATTCTTTAGACAGACTTCATTTGTGTTTATCATTTTTTTTTATGATTTTAAAAGTGGCCTTTGAAAAGGCAATTTTAGAAACTACAACAATATAACTGCTTCCCTTGTAACTGATAAACCACTTTCTTGGGTTAAATTTCACCAACCCTAACCAGCCTAATCTAAAGTTGATTAAAAGTAAAGTTAATGTAAATTATTGTAATAATTCAAGAACAAGTTATAATCACAAAAATTGATTTTTGTTTAAAGAGCTTCAAAGCCATTTGTGTTTAATCTTAACCTGAAGAGTGCCTAATAGGTCTCAGGCTACCTGTATAAATGAAAGTATAATAACTTCTAATAAAAGGAAACTTTTCACTGCATGACCCTTATTCAAAGTCCACTGACAGGAGCACAGCCAAAAGGCTTTAAAAAATGGTTGTGGGTTGGTCTAGTCAAAGTCTAAGCTTGTTTGGTTATGCAGCCCATAAATCTACACACATCCATACGATCAGACATTACTGACAACTGATCAACCGTATTACTTATTGGTTTAGATAAATAGTTTTCTTTCTTAAAATACCACCATCTGGACTAATAAATCCCATCTGATAAAATAAAATTATCATTTTAAAAACGACTTTTTGAGTTTATTTGGGTTATCTTTGTTTGATATAAGAATCATTTTGGTTATCTGAAACATTTCAGTTTGAAACAGAAGTAAAAAAAGAAACTTAAATACCATTTTATGGCAAAGTAAATTTGAAAAATGCTACTACCACTGCTCAGAATACTCATTTGAAAGAAATATTGAGACAGAAAACATTTAAGAAAATAAAGACAAGCTGAGCTATTCCTTATTCCTTTGAATATTAGGAGGAATGTTGGATAGGAAGCATGTTTCTTGGAGGTTTGCTTTTACTTTCAAACAAAAGATTGAAACAAAAAGCTGACCCAAACATGTTGTTTTGTAGATGACTAACTGTATCTAAAGTGAAATTGACCTTTTTTTTAACAGAACAGTCTGGAAAATACCTTAAAATAACAAAGGAGTGTGAAATAATATAAACAATTCAGTGTTATTGTAGCCTAAAGCGAAGCATGGTATAGATTTAAAATTCTCCATAGCTCGAGTGAAAGGAGATTCCTTTGTTCTTCTAAAACACAAAACCATGTTTTGACACAGAAAAGAGATCCCTATAGAGACAGAAAAGCTACTCAGCTTTCTGAGCGCACAGTGGAGTTTCTAACTTACAATTTCTCTGACTCAGACGACTTGTCAATCCACACTCAGTGCTGTTTACAGCTCTGTGCATGTGCTCTCTCTGCAGTACGCCAGCGTGGTGGAGGATGGGGAGCATTACATGACCCCCAGAGACTTTGTGCAGAATTATTTGGGTCTGCACACTCAGCCTCAACACAACCCTAAAACTGTGGAGCTGATAGCTGGAGTGGCCGACACCACCAAAGATGGGTGAGTAAAGGTCTTGTGTTAGAGTGAGATGTTTTATATAATGTTCCTTATTAATAAAAACATTTTATACTTTTAATGTATCCATTGATACTGAGAGAGATGTTTTTTTTGATAGAATAGAATAGACAATCCCTTTATTGTCCCACAATAGGGAATTTCCGGTGTTTACAGCAGCAAAAAGATTATTTAAAAAATGGTCACACAAATGTGGACCTCAGAAAAGTGTATAAGAATAACATAATAGTGAAGACTTAAAAGATTACCAATTAGAAATACTGTACTTTAAAGTGCTTTAACAAAAAAACAAAACAAACACTGTGCACCTGGAGAATACATAACCACTATACAGCTATGGACATTTTTACAGTAATGGATATTTGAAAATAGCAGCAACATCAGAGATGTGCAAAATGACAGCAGCATGTTATTTAACTGACTAAGGTAGAAATTGTGCAAAATCAGCATGAATTAACAACTTATTGAAGTTATAGGGAACATTGGTGGTTTTAGAGTCTTCCAGCTGCTGGGAGGAAGGATCTGTGATAACGCTCCCTGGTGCATTTAGGGAGCATCAGTCTGTCACTGAAGGAGCTCTTCAGTTCAGCAACAGCTTCATGCATGGGGTGGGAGACACTATACAACAGATATATTAATCTAGTTAGGATCCATTTGTTTTGTTCATAACATGCTCCAAAATTATAATTTATTTTTTTTAATGTCAAACTGGATTTTTCATCCTTTTTTTTCTAAAACCTTAAAGCACAAATCAGTTTACTAGTTTCAGTCTTTATGTAAACTCCAGTTTTGTCGAAAAAAATAATAATTTTACCGATTTGTTCAGTGTTTGCTGTACTATCTTCCTGTTTTCTGCATTACTTGATTATTCCATTGTCTCGCTGTTGCTCTGCTTTCATTTGTTGCTTCATCCCACTGCCCAATTTCTTTGAAGCATCTATTGAATCATTGCAGACTGTCCTTGATTTAGTTCTTTATTTGATCACTTCCACAAGTCTTACTTTTTTCAGTCTGAAATTAAGTTCAGCTAATGCTCAATTTTCTTTATCATTTCTGCATCCAGAGGTTTCTATTAGTATGAGCAGAAGCTGCCTTTAAGTTGAATATGAAAGTAATAATTGTAAATAAATGCACATTTATTGAGAGATGTTGTGTCATATCCTATCTTTCATATAACAGATCCTAAAGTTGAAAAGAAGGTTTTATGTTTCAGATTTAAATCCTAAATAGTGACTTTGACATTCAAAGTAAATCCTTCATATGTTAGTTGAACCACATCTTTCTCTGTTTTACATTTGAGCCATTAACTCTACATATATGCTGAAGCAGCGCATCAACATGAGACATATAAAGTGAAAGACTGTGGATGATTAATCTTCTTAAAAAAAGATACATTTTGTTTAATTGGTTTTAAACCCCCTAGGGGTTTTAAACATAAACACAAGATAACATGGCTGAACATGTCATCCTGCACATTGTGTTTAGTTTAAGATAAATGCAACTTGAATGCATCCAATTGCAGGAAATAATGCTGACAAAATCCAGAATGACTGAACCTGATTAGCCTTATGTTATATCTCTTAACTGTTTTTTTTTTTTATGCAACATCTGACACTTTATCTCTAATCAGCCTCCAGTAATCATACAAGCTTTGTTTTTGACGGACAGCATCTTATCCTCTCTGGTAAATGCATGCACCAGGGCTTGCTTGCTCCCTGTTTTCAGAATGTGGCCCCTTTCCTCTGCATTTCCTATACAACAGTCTGCTAACTAATTGATAGAACATCACATTAGGGTAATCAGAATGTCATCAAGAACACTTTAGACAATACTTTGTCCTTAAAATGCTTAAAGAAATGAAGATCTGACATGTTTAATATTTCAGGCAACTGAAAGAGAACCACCTGCTAGTTTAGATTTGTGTTGTATTTTTTTACCTCACAAAAAGGTTTTATTTTTCTATGATAAAATGGTTCAACTTCCTTGTTTGATGTCATTACAGATTAAAAAAAAAAACACATTAAAGCTGGGCTACAGTACCTAGAGCCTGTTGTATAATTATCTGATAAATGAACCTTGGGTTAAAACATTCTAACAATTTCACTCCCCACAGATAAAAACAACATTAGTGTTAACAATTAGTCACTTTAATATTAAATTAATCCTATGTTGTGGGTTTTTTTTTTTTTTTTTTTACCTCTGCTGCCAGTATTGCTAAGTTTATTTGGTTTTATTAAGTTTTTCTTTTTTTGTGACTTGACGTGCAGTAAAGTCTCTAATTTTCTTGTTCTTTTCATTGAGATTGCCTCTGTTCTTTCTCATCCAAACAGATTGATCTCTTTCCAGGAGTTTCTGGCTTTTGAATCAGTTCTCTGCGCCCCGGATGCCCTCTTCATAGTAGCCTTTCAATTGTTTGACAAGAATGGCTCAGGAAACATCTCATTTGGTACGTACATGGTATCGAACCTGCTGAAAGTAGTCCAGACACTGTTTTCATCTTTTATTTTTTGTGCTCTCCAAACCTTATCCCCATCCACACTGCTGTAGGAGCTAGAGAAGCATTTCATACAGCTATTTTTAAGAATGTTAATCCTGTATAATTTTCAGGGTAGTTGAAAGTTTTAAGCAATTTTTTTTGCACATCCTGGAGAGTCTGGAATTTGGTTTAAGCATTTTTAAGATCTTCAAAAGTATAGACAAAGAATTAAAACTGTTCAAAAGTATTTCCAGACTCCATTTGGTGTCCCTAAAAGCTGAACTCTTTCCCTCGATTGTCTTTCTTTGTCTTCCTAATCCCTATGTGTTTTTTTTTTTTTTTGGGCCTTTCTTCCGGTTCAAAGTGTATCCACTGTCTATCTTTCTTTCTAGTTTTTCTTCCTTCCATCCTTACTCACTTACTGCTATCGTCACTTTATTTCTTACCTTTCCTTCCTACTAACTTTCCTTTCTCATGTTCCTTCTCATGTCTTTGTTCAGTCATTCTTTGCTAATTCATTTTCTTCCCAGTGCACATTCTTCCATCCTTTCATCCTTCTTTCTGCTGTCCCTTCCTTTTTTCTTTACCATGCTGTTTTCTTTCCCGTCTTTGTACCTTTTCAAATGTTTCCCCTCGTGACTTTCCCTTTTCTCTACATTTGCTGTCTTTCCCTCTTTACTCTCTGTCTTAAGTCTTTTCTTCTTTCCTTGTCTCTTGTTTTGTTTGTTTCCTCTCCTTCTTGTGTTCTTCCTTTTTGTGACTTAGTGTTGTTTCAAGGTTCAAAAATTAAAGCACAGCCCCTGTAGAAAAATGCTACACTTATTGATTTAAACTGAATTTTTATATGACTCTTATAAGATTCCCAGAAGGGACTAAATGCTCTACAGGTCTGCAATTTCTGCATGAAAAACGAGTAGGGAGTCCTTTTAGTGAAATACTACATTATACCAAGCGCCCTTTTAAACAGGCTCTGCTTAGACTATTTTTTTAGAAAATTAAACATAAATAAAACCAGAGCTTCACTTTTATAAACTTTATAAAATGCATGTCTAATTGGGTCAGTATCTTAATGCTGAAATGGGTTATTTTAAACACAGTTTTTCTTGTACTTTGACTATTACCATTAAAGCTACGTCACATTAACACCATATGGGCACAATAAGTATCTTGTGAAAGGTCACAAGACTCCTTGGCTTCTCTGTTTGACCTTTGGAAGGACAGTGTTAGGTTCTTAAAGGTCCAGGCAGCTCAAAATGAGCTCGTCTTTCAGGCCAAATTGCACAACCGGTGGGGTCGATTCCTGCCTTGATCTGCTTCGTTCCCCAACTCACCAATCTGGTCTGGGGACTCCTTCCACTGCCAAAGCAGAGGTGTGCAGAACCACATCAACTTCAACCACCAGGCCCACCAAGGGAGTCTCACAATTTCATTGGCAAATTTTATGTGATTGGGATCATTAGAAGTTTTGACATTATGACTGCTTGTTGCATTTTTATAATTTTGTTGTTTCATAATCCACTCAATGCTTTCCAGAAAACGTCCGAGACATCTTCAGCCAGACGACAGTGCATCACCACATTCCCTTCAACTGGGACTGTGAGTTCATCAGGCTGCATTTCGGCCATGAAAGAAACAAGAACCTCAGTTATGCAGAGTTCACTCAGTTTCTGCAGGTAAACATTTTATCCCAGAGTTTTTTCTTTTTGTATTATTATAATTATTAAAATATATTGTTGATAAATAAAACTCCAGCTGTATAATAATACTATTGTTGAAACAATTTTCAGTAGGAAAATTTGAACTTAATGACTTTTTGAGACAGATCAACAATTAGAGCGAATAATATCTATTGCATTTTTACCACCAGAGGCTGTTTTTTTAGCTTCATGATTCATTCATATAATCTCAAATGTGCATAAAGACCTTTCCATCTCTAACATTATTTTAATTTCAGTCGATAGCATGACAGTTTGGATTAGGGCTTTGTCTGAAGCCACAGCTGAAGAAAGAGTTGAGCCAAAATGGCTAACTTTACTGGATTATTTACATTGTGAACCTCACCTGTAGCCCTTAGCCATAGATCAAGATCACATCTGAAATGAGCTTCCTCCTAACGGTGGCCTAATTCCGCTTAGAAGATGGATCTCGTCATCCTGCAGAGGCCAGCAATAAAGCGACTGTCCCTCCAGTGGTAATTCCAGAAAATGTTCATTGGGGTGGCCAGGCAGGGATCAATGTGCTCTTAGCGATGGACCAATAGGCACAGAAACCAGTTCAGAGTCAAACAATTCTGATCACATTGAACCTACAGGAAAATGAACGTTCACAACATCTATATTTTCTTAATAAATTACTGAAGACCAACCAGATTTACATGCAGTCCTTGCTAATAAAGCTACACACATATTTTTTTAGACATTTATGTATTAATTTATGGTTATATATAATCTAATAATAGATTAAATTAAGTAGTATTTAAGTAGTTCTTTATAATTACATAAAATATTTCAAGATGACTGTCCAGCATAAAACATAAAAATAAAAGGGTATAAATTCTGTATTATGATGCTTTCAGACCAAATGCATTTAGGCATAAACGGCAGAACTTCAATGCTAGCTCATATTGCGATCAAAATGCGTTGATGCTCTGGATGCTTGACTTATCTTTTAGCTGCTCTGTTCTGATGTTGCAATCTAGAGAGCGGCTTCGCTTTATTTGCTTTGATGAGTTGGAAAAAAATTGTTTAGCACATTTTTGAGCAGAAAAGTCCAACCTCAAAATGTCATCCGTGCACTCAGATAATCAGGATTATGATCCTACAAAAATATTCTGTTCTTCACCACAGTTCAGAAGGAAAATGTTTTAGTGGAGTAATAATGATCAAAACTCGTTCTCTTTTCCTTGATTATAAAAAAATCCATTCTACTGGCTTTTTAAACCCTTTTCTATTTATTAATTTTCCACATGCCAACGCATGTAGCTGCAATTTATGTGTCTGAGAAAACTTGAGGATTATGTTTACTGCAAAAGTTCATTTTTGAACTCCAGAATCTAACCCTGGGACGCCCTAATGCTCAGATGCACCGCTGGACCTCTCGATGCTGCTTAATGCCATCTTCTATCGACTTTGCATGTTAATCAGATGCTTTGATGCCCAGAACCCGTTTTCTCTGAATGCACCATAAGTCATCTTTAATTGTGGTATATTGTTAATAATTACTTGCTGTATCTTTTTTGTCAGTTTTTAGGCAACATCACTTTAAAATGTCAAAGTATGACATTCCACATGAGAGTTTCACTGCTGCCCACCTCTGGTTTAAATGAGAGCTGCTTGTTCCAGAGGTGGTGAATTACATCCACTTAAGAAATCACCTGGTAGTTCTGCTTGACAGAATATACATGTCCCATTTGGCTTGAGAGCGCCTTGGGATTCCCCCAGAATGATCTAATGAGGGTCATGGGAGACTTTAGACTTTAGAAAGATTTTATTTGTCATTTTATTACCCAAGTGTAAAACAAAAAGAAATTTATTTTGGAAACAGCTCACTGGACAGTTTCATCTTTTAAAAGTGCAACCTTGAAAAATAGTAAAAAATGACTGTAAATTTACAGTTCTAACTTTTTTAGAGCAGGACATCCTCATTTCTCTCTAGCATCTTTTTACTCACATGACCCGATCCCAAATGAGACAAACCAATGGTTGGATTTTAGTGTAATTTATTGTTAAAAAAAGATTTCCACAATACATCTGCATTCATAACATTTTAATGATGTTTTGTAAAATTTGTACAACCCCCATCAAAGAGGGTTTTTTTTCGGATAGTTTGTGTGTTTGTCTGTCTGTGTACAGGATAACTTGAAAAGTTATGAACATATGTTTATGAAATTTTTATCAGGGGTGTCTCTCATCCCAAGGAACAATCCATAAGGTGTTGGTGAAGATCCAGATCATAATCTGGATACAAGATTCTCTAACATTGTGAGATAGGGATATTTGGCGGAACAAGCAGTTCTTCACTAATCCAGAGGGTGGCAGCACTGACTATTGACAGTCTCAGTATTGGATTTATTTGTATGATACAACTGCAAATAAGTATTTGAACACCTGAGAAAATCAAAGTTAATATTTGGTATAGTAGCCCTTGTTTGCCATACAGAGGTCCTGTAGTTTCCTGTAGTTTTTCATCAGGTTTGCACACACTGCAGGACCACTCCAGCTGCCCCACTCTTCCACACAGATCTTCTCTAGATCAGTCGGGTTTCTGGGCTGTTGCTGAGAAACACAGAGTTTGAGCTCCCTCCAAAGATTCTCTATTTAGTTTAGGTCGGGAGACTGGGTAGGCCACACCAAAACCTAGATATGCTTCTTACAGATCCTTGCTGTGTGCTTTCGGTCATTGTCATGTTGGAAGACCCAGCCTTGACCTATCTGTAATGCTCTAACTGAGGGAAGGAGGTTGTTCCCTAAAATCTGGCAATACACGGCCTTGGTCTTCCTCTCCTTATGACAGTGCAGGCGCCCTGTCTCATGTATAGAAAAACAACCCCAAAACATGATGCTACCACCCCCATGCTTCACAGTAAGCATAGTGTTTTTAGGATGGTACTCATCATTCTTGTGGGTGGACTGCTGGAAGAAACTATGGAGGATAGAAGAACTGCGGTGAACTGGTGAAAGAAAAGTGACCTTAAACAGGTGCATCTAATTTAGAATAACAAATGGCGTGGAGGCGGACATTTTGAAGGCAGACTAACAGGTCTATGATGGTCAGAATTGTAGATGATAGACAGGCTGCAGTTGATCATATAAATAAATAGTTAAAATAATCCTACACTGTGATTTCTTGTTTTTTTTTTTATATTATGTCTCTGATAGTGGACATGCACCAACGATGACAATTTCAGACCCCTCCATGACTTCTAAGATGGAGGACTTGCAAATAGCAGGGTGTTCAAATACTTATTTTCCTCACTCTATAGGAGTACGTTATGGTTTGGGGTAAAATTAGCTGCTTGGCAGAGGTCTGCACTCTCAGAGTGCTAGAATAAATAGAATAAAAGTGAACTAAATGAGTTTCAACTTACACCTTAATGTCTTAGAAGCGTTAAAAAATGTATCTATAAAGAGCCGTAAGGTTGTTGGATGTGGATCTGAGCTGTGGGCTGAGGAAGCAGCTGGGTGGGCTTCTTCTCTACTTCCCTGTGGGATACCTCACAGCTCTCTATAGTTTGTTATAACTGACTCCACTGCACCAATGGTCCTCATTTGTACAGGATTTCAAACACTGATGTCATTATTTTCTGCTGTCAAGGCCAGGCTTAGTCAGTAGGCAATGCAATACATCTAAATAATAGCCAGATAAAGTGTGTTTGTCTGGCTTTTATTCCGAGTTGCCACAATGTGTATTTAGCTAAAACTGCAGTACTGTTTGGTATTAGATCAAACTTTGTCATCTGCTTTTAACAAAAGACAGAAGAAAAGCATCAGGAGGGCTCAGTTTCAGGACCAATCCAATAATTAGGCCAGCGTATCAAAGACGGCGCTCCACACTCCTCTGGTTGTAGGTGATGAGCTCTGACAGCAGGGTTTGGCTCCCCCTGTATCCTCTCCTGATTGCCTGGTTGTCACATTGAATCATGTCTTTTGGAACACACACCTGCCGGCCACCTAGCAGCCGCTCTCAGATCAGGCTTCTCTGGATGTGGGCTTTATAAGTCTCTGCACAGACTACGGTGATTAGCTTTATTCTGCCGGATATTTGTCTTGATTTGATGCATATTGCTCTTTTGTCCTTTGCCCTTTGCACCGTTCTGCTGTTCCAGGAGCTGCAGCTGGAGCACGCTCGCCAGGCGTTTGCACAGAAAGACAAGAAGAAAAGCGGCACCATCACTGCCTTGGACTTCAGCGACATCATGTCCACCATCAGGCACCACATGCTGACTCCTTTCGTAGAGGAAAACTTGGTTTCAGTGAGTCTTAGACCGCTTTAGCAATGCTGCTTCAAAATACGACCCCTGCTCTGCTGACAGCGTTGACTGTTCCTTCAGGCTGCAGGAGGCAGTACCTCCCACATGGTGAGCTTCTCCTACTTCACCGCCTTCAACGCCCTCCTCAACAACATGGAGCTGATTCGCAAGATTTACAGCACCCTCGTCGGCTCACACAAGGAAACACTCGTCACTAAAGGTACTTTTGATCGCCCCCTTAAATGAATCTCCTGAATTTAACGTGCTGTCAAATTTGGCTGTTCGACCCTATTTTCAACTTTCTCGACAGAGTGGTGTGAGTGAGCACACAGGGAACATTAAGTGTAGCACTAAATTACTCAGGTAAATGAATGTTTTTAATGTGGTAAACCTGATGACCCCTCCTCTACATGAGTAGCTGATCCTGCCCGTCACATCTGCTCCCAACTGTGTTGTCCATTTAGATCTGAACATCAGACTTTCTTTCCATAGTTTTTTTCCCCCTCCATTTAGAGAAAACTTTAGGCAAATAGTATTTGCAAATAATATCCTCCGGGTCTAGATAAACACTCTTTATTTTTCCGTCACACAAAATATGTCCACACAGTCCTCCACATCAAGTCGGCTTGCAGGTTAGATCCGTGAATCTGATTGAAAGGTTTTTCTAAGGAGAAATAAATAACTAACTCTTTTCCTTTCCTCAACAACTACCATTAGGTTTTCCTTTTAGAAGACCACCCGATGGCCACTTTGTTACCTGGCAGGCAGCAGCAAAGAACTAAATTTGAAGCTCAAATAATAGAGTGATGCTAAGAGAGTGGATGTTCACGTGGCGAGTACTTTGGTAGAAGGAACTTAAGCACATAGCAAAGTAGTTTAATGGTTCATTCTTTCCAAATACAGATATATACATTCTTTTTTAGCAGTAAATATCAACACTAAGGCAATAACCTAAGCATACAAGAACCAGTATTTGCAAATACTATTGTAGTTAAAGCCTACTGTAGAAAACACCTCTTTTATTTCGACCTCTCCTCTAGTTTGGCTTTGTTCGTATGACTTTCTTTTCTCTCCCCTTTTTTTAAACCTCAGAGGAGTTTGTCCACGCTGCAAATAAGTTCGGTCAAATCACTCCGATGGAAATAGACATCCTGTTCCAGCTGGTCGGCCTCCACTCCCACTCTGGGTAAGATGCTTCATCACGGCCTTGCAACAGTGTTGGAAGAGTTAAAAACTAAGATTAATTTGTGATCCATACGTGCACATTGGTTTTAATACAAAATAGCCCATATTGATAGTGAACATGTAAAGAAAATAAACTAGAAATGCAAGAAACCACCTTAAATCTGTCATTATCAGGTTGTTTGTTAATATATGCTGACCTGTGTAATGGTTTTCCTTCACCAAGGCATCTCACAAAGAGTAAATCGTGATGGATTTAAACCACTGATACCTTCCTGTTGTTGAACCTGCCTCTAAATGTTCCAGTAAATGCAGGGATTAGGGATATAACTGTGTTTTCCAGAACTAGAAAGATAATAATCTGAGCACAAACCAGCTATAGTCAGACTCTGCTTACAAGACGCCTGACTGATCATTAGAAAAAAAAAAGGGGGGTTTCTAATGAAACCATCAGGAAAAAAAAAGAATTTACCAATACAGATTATTTGTGATGAAGATAGGACATTTTCTAAATCACAATGGTGAGAACATCATGGTGATGGTTTTCCTGTAAAGTCACTTTACTAAGATGCCAAGCAGAATAAATAAGTGTTTTGTTGTATTTTCTCTTCCTCAAGCTATCTTAAGTAAAGTAGCACAGTAAAGCGTTAAGTGACATTCGGTCAGCTAGCAAAAAGAAAAGAAACGAAATCCTTCAATTACTCCTAAGAAGCAATGAGACTCTTGGAAAATATTTTCTAGCTTGAAATATAAACGTTAATCATCGTTTACTCTAAAACAAAAGTTATTATCCTATGATATAACCTACTGCAGGCTATCTATCCATAGCCAGTTAGCCTTCTGATATCACGTTTTGATTTAAATCACATTGATAAAGAGAAGAATAGAATAAAGCTATAACACCCTGCATCATACTCATTTGGAAACCACTGCTTTAAGCAGGTGTTTTTGTAAATGCTTCTTTCCTGTTTTTAGATCTAGAAATATTATCCGGTTTGATCTTTGGTATGATGGCACATGAAATGGGAGATTTTTATTATTATTTTTATGTGGAGTAAATTCAAACTGATTTATTTTTTATTTCAGTGGAGTAAATGTGTCTTGTTTACTTGCCATAAAGAAGAAGTTGACGCCCATTTTAGCTTAGTTACAGTGGCTCCACTCGCTTATTTTTACAAGACAAACATAAAACATGGATGCAGACTTTATGATGCGTCAGGCCAGCGGGGAACATTTCTGTCTCAAATATTTGGCAGCAACACACCTTCATTTATCCGCCGGCCCTCCGGCATTTATCCAGCTTTGTTTGTGTGTTGTTTATGTCAGTCTGAATTAAGGATGCAATAACTTCAAGTTATTTGGTAGTAAAAACAACTGGAAAATATTACAACACTGGTTGCCGCGCCTCAGTGGAGATGTAGGTTTTTTTTTTTCTTGGCCTAACTCCCGAACCCCTTCCTTTCAGGCGGTTGAACAACACAGACATCGAGAGAGTCGCCCCGCTGGAGGAAGGAGCCATGCCATACCACCTTGCTGAGACTCAGAGACAGGTATCCTGAGTGACTTCTCTAATATTCCTCGCATCCTCCTCCTGCCTTTCATCAAAGCCTTTTCCTCTTCTCCATCTCCGCTTCCCTCTCAGAAAAGGGAGCAAAGAAAGGCAGCATGTACAGGCTCTGAATTAGCAGAGAGCCCGTGTTTTTCTTCCCTTGTGAAGTGCATTTCTTAAACTCCCAGATAAAAGTACACCAATTATAGTCACAGAAGAGGAATGGATTGTTGCGTTGCAGCTCTCCATGAAAGGCTCTTCCTATTTTATTCAGTGCGGCTGCACATACGCATCAGCTGCAATCACACATCTGAGGCGCTAATAAGAGGCTTTTATCACCGTGGGGCTTGAGAAGTTTTAGAAGCCTTTAGCGAAGTCTGCTAATGGCAAGAGGGGAGTGGGAGGCGAGGACGATGTGGGAGAACAAAATAGTTCCTGCCTCCACCGGATAACATGACTGTGTCAGAGCTTTCAGGCCACTCGTGTTCTTGAGACTCAGGCTCAGAGGTCTGGAATTTGACTCCTTCTCTTTTAGACGGGGGTTAGGGGGGGGGCGTAATTCTTAAGCCTGCTCTTCAGTGGAAGTAGACTAATTGTTTAAAGCCTTTGATCAAGACCTCGATCTTGTTAGCATGAGGCCTTCTGTGGAAGCATCTGGGAGGAGGAAAAGAGCGATCTGCTTCGCTCCCTTAGCGTCTAGTTTGGGGAGGAAGTCACAAGCCACCCCCCCACAAAAAAAAAATCTATGCACACTCATGTTTTAACTTTTCCTGTGGCTGTGTTATACGGTGTTGTTAGACCACAAATTGATTTAATCAAGATTTGATGCAAAATAGATCAAAACAAAGCAATATCAATATGATGTAGAACCAACTTTTACCGCAGTTGCAGCAAAGCCTTTGCTTCCTGTGTCTATCTTTGCATATCTTATCCATGCTTCTTAGGAATTAGCAGATGTTTTGGTTCGCCCTCCACCCTAGTCTTCTTATCCTCCGACATTTTTTCTTCGCGGACTTTCTTATGTTTTAACTTCATCCAACATCATTTTTAAATTGGACCAGCTTTCTTATTCCTGCGGAATATCATCTTCAGAGTGTTATGTTACTACGATGTTGTTTAACAGTATGGAGGGGGTCCTTAGGGTGATTTGTAGTGTTAATTGGCCGCTGCTGAGTGACGTACGTAGCTCCTCAGTATACGGGTTGTAAAAGAAGAGACATGCCTAAAAGGTGCAGGACAGCGGACCCTGAGGGCCAGAATTGGCTCACTTCTTGTGCAGATTTCTCTAGATGTTCACCCCTGACCTCTCTACTCTGTTACTCAGTCTTCATCAAAAACTACACCCTATTCTTTATTTATTTATGTATACTTTCATATTTACATTTTTCCTTTGCTGGCTGCAAAAAAAACCACTTCCTTTTCAGCGTCAATAAATTTTATTTTAAACAATTTGTTCTCTGTTGTTCTCTAACAAACCTATAACGCTTTAACAGAGCAGCTGGGTATATAGTAAGATCAAATCACACACAGGTGGTCTGTATTTACTAACTGGGTGTCTCCTGAAGACATTTTTTTTTATGGTTTTGAGAGTAAAGGGGATGAACACAAATGCACACCATACTTTTGGTGTATATATTAAAAACAAGTGAAAACCAAAAAAAGTGTTTTTTAATATGAACACTGTAGCTCAATGCCTAGGGCAGCATGGAGGCTATTAGCTCTTAAAAACAAATTTAAGAGTAACGTTCAGCTCCATCCCAAACTAATTTTCCCTAACGTTTTCATAAATAAAATGTCATGTCACTGCGTGTGACATGTTGCACTCTGTATGAGCAGTATAATAAACTTGTGGTAGTGAAGCCAGTAGTGAATTTAGCTTATTCACTTATATATCTCAAGTGCAAAATATTAATGAAGATTCATGAAGTTTTATTCTATTTATCTTAATGTGAAGGGACGCCTGCTTAGATGGCAATCTATATATTTTGTAAACATGCTTCAGTATAGGTATAGAGCACCCTTTATTCTGTTCTTTATATATGATAGGTGTTAGAATAAAAAAAGGTGGTTTTATGCAGACCGATGAGCACAGGGGGCGTAGATGTATTCTGTGCTAAACTATGTTAGTCGATCACATCAAATCCCCAAAACGCAATAAAGTTGGTGAACTTGAAGTGACGAAATGCAGTGAAGTTCATGGAGTCTGGATGTTCCTGTAAGGAACTGTGATTATGTAGATTCCTATCTGAACGTGTGGAAGGGTAGTTTGGCTAATCTGTTTCCCTGCACCCCGGTGGAAACAAAACATCAAACACCAGGGCAGAGATGCTGCAGATAGGAAGGAAATTATACGTTTAAAATGAAAACCAAATGTTTAGATCACAGCCTCCTAGATGGAGCATGTGTGGAAAACTGGGGCTACAGGTTCACACAGCCTCCCCAGAGCTAATCTTCCTCTGACATTTAATACCGGCTGCTGGTGAATCAGACTGTATATGAAATGTCTGCATTCCATCTCCATAACATTTTCCTTTCCACCATGTATCTGTTTCACTGTGGCTTGATATCCAGCAGATTCATGATTAGTGCTGTGATCCAGCCTCCATCTTTCTCCAGATCCATTTGACCACCGGTGTCTTTTTCCTCCCATACAGCATGCTCACGAAACATCGCGGCCCGTCTGGCTCCAGGCTGCAGAATCTGCCTACAGGTTTAGCCTGGGCTCAATCGCTGGAGGTGAGTGACATGTCTGCGGCGGAGGCCCCCAGCCCGCCCGAGGTGTAACCTTAGCCGGCCTGACTGCTGCAACTGAGGCCCTGGGGCCCACCATTGTGTTTCTGGGGAGAGGGGCTGGGATGTGAGGCTCCGGCATTGTGCTGCCGTGCCACCGGTGGCTCCAGGCTGTCTTTGGAGACGGAGCTTTGGAATGACACAAATCTTCCGGAACCGCACTCCCTGGAATCTCCCTCTCTAATTACACTGGTGGGACCAGAAACAAGGAACCACTGACATAACCGCCCCACAGACAGAAGCTCACTCTGACTCTGTGGGGAAAGAAGACAGCGCAGCCGTCACTCAGCAGCGGCCGATTAAGACGGGGTTTGAGCGAGATGTCTGTCGCAAGACTTTACAGTGAAACTGTAATACTTCTGTTGCAGTGAGGTTTTGTTTTATCACCCTTTAGGGTTTTAGCATTTTTAAGAAGAGTCAGGACACCAACAACTGATGTCAGACAAGATGCAGCTAGGAGCAACGATTTAGTGCAACTCACCTCAGCTTCACTTACATAAAGCAGTAATGTCATATTATTGGTGCTCGTTAAAGATGCATTTTAACTTTTTACATTTCAAGCTGGAAGGATAATAAAACTGATAATTTAATGAATAATTAACATGCCAGTTTTTATTTTTGTTCAATTTTACAATCTCTTTAGTTCTATCCAGATAACCCTTAAACATAACATTTTATTTTTGTTTATGTCTTTGAACAACAATACAAAATTTACACTGAGATGTTAAGACGTGTTAGTAGAGCCTTTAAATTATAAGATAATTTAAAATGGCAACCAAGGCTGACCGTAGTGGCGAAGAGTACAAAAAATAATAATAACTATGTCCAAACTAAAAGATTATATGAACAATTAAGGGATTTTTAAACACAAAACACCCTGTGGTTCTAAGCCAAGGAGTAAAAGTGAGTTTTTAAATGAGAAATAAAAACATCCTTAGAAGGTGGGAATGGATCAATTTATCTGGAAAACTGGAATATCTTTTATTAAAGCATTCTAATTTATCTCAAGCCTGAAAAAATACTGGTACTTTTAATGTATATATAGATATATTTGCTTTGTCCTTAATTGGCACAGCTGCTCTGTTTGTTATCATTTCTGAAGTATGCTATGTACTTTTATTATAAACGGTCACATTGCCACTCTTATATTCATTTTTATGTACTTTTGACATTTTTATTGACACTATAAAAACAACCAAATGTAAAAAAAGAAAATGTAATTAATCATCTGTAGTCGAAGGATCCTGATCTGAAGTGGAAAATCGTTTTCCGATTTGATAGCTGTCACCTTTCGAGTTTGAAACATTTGATCTGTTAAAGCAAACAATCTTAAAATTTAGTCTTCCAATTTTTTCCAATAAAGAAGTTTGTTCCTACTGGGGAAAAAGATGGGCATCTCTGAACAGAAAATGTAAAAGAAGTGTCAAATTTTGCAAAAGAAAAAGTCTTTATGTCGATTAAAAAAAAAAAAAATTCAGTACCAGACTGATACATATTTTAACAAATTAGACAGGGAATAACCTTCTAAAAGACTTAAAAACAGGGATGGCTTTTAAAATAAATCTAAAATTGGTAAAGGAAGAGCAGTTACACTCTCCCTTGTTTGTGCCACTCAAACAGATTTAATGTTAAATATTCCACTGTCAAGGTTTCATGGAGGTTTTTTTGGACCCAAATGCAGAGATGAGGAGGCACAGATGAGTTTGCAGATTTAATGGAAAGATACAGAGGCAAAAGTCCAAAATAAAATAAAAAACAGCCAATGCCAGGGGGAAACACACACAGGGAGCCAGGCAACATTAAAGCAGCAAGAAACCAGCAATGAGGAACTGCAAAGGTGGTGTATATATGGGAAACCAAACAAAGAATGGGCTAAGGAGCTGATAGGGAGCAGGTGTGAATAGAATTAACTAGAAGGGAGCCAATGGGAAAGAAAACATGCACAAGGGGGAGACAGAGAGGAACACAAAAACACAACACTGACAGAAAACAACTACAAATAAATAGAAAATAATAAATAAATTGAACCTAATTGATCTCACTATAGATATATTAACTGCATTTAGTGCATCCCCTTTGGGGAGCAGTGGGCTTCCACTGTGCAGCACCCGGGGAGCAAACAAGGCTTAAGGGTCTTGCTCAGAGAACCAAAGTGGCAGTCTGCAGGAGACCCAGA